TAATTTAGTTTTTAAATGAAAGTTAAACTAATTAAAAACTCACCAAAAGAAATGCTAGTAAAAGTAAATTTAATATCAAACTGTTAATATATAGTTTTTTAGTGTTAATTTATATTTAAAAGCTTATTTTAAATTCTTATATATTCCATCAATTTAATCACAAGCAAATATGATATAATTCAAGCTTTAGTTACAGGATTTTGATTAAACATTTTTATAAATTTTATATTTCAATAAAATTTAACTGAAATATTGTTTAAAATGGTTAAATATAATGGAAACGTTCAACAAAAATAATTTCAAATCACGTTTTGTATTGAAACGCATGTTGTAATATAGGAGATTGATTCCAAGTACTAATCAAACAAACCCTGAATATATATTTCTTTGGTTTGAAGTGAATTATTGGTTTTCAAGCTTGTACAACAGGACACACCACATCGCGTAGAAATGGTAAAGTTTTATCTTTCATTTATAAAGAAAAGGCGGAAGAATGTCCTCTTTCACAGTCAATTGCCATCACCCTTCCCTGTCGGCCAGTTTCCGATTTTCAAAAGTCTAGAGTTTGAAATTTATGACTCTGCGTGTGCGTTTGGAAAAAATAAAATTAATTAAGTTTTTCATGAGATATTATTTTTTAATTAAAGGGAAAAAGATAAACACAGACGATTTGAGTCACATGTATGAACATACCTCTTCTGTGATTGTACTAAGCGGATTTTGAGACAAACATGATGTGAGGGCGTGGACATGGAGTGTATGCATATGCATCTATAAATGTTGAGTGGGAACTAATCACTCCAAGGTGTATACACTTTATCCATAATTTCTTTCTTTGGCAGTAAAATAATGCAGAGGAAATCTTCTTCGTTTTATTCTGGAACAATTATTTTGTTTTCTTTCCAAGGTAAGTAGTGGATCCCATTTACAATGACCAGATTGGACTCATCATACTTGGAAATGCGAAGCACTCGTGATTCAATACAGAGTACGTGCTATAGTTTATCAATCGCCGAGGAAGTCATTTGCCATTATTTTCTTTGGGATAGGGCACCAAAAACTTTGTCCGAATTACCTTCACCAAACAACCGTACCCACATCTTTTCTCTTTTCTCCTGTAAGTAAGACCATAAAATATCTTGGAGAAAGGAAAACCAACAATAATAATCAGTAACTATTTAAACTGGTCCTTGAAAAAAAGTATGAGGGCCCTATCACTTTAAAAACCACTATTTAATCCCTTAAAATTGTAAATTTAAAATACTTTAAGATTTCCACTTTTGATTGAGCATTTGATGATTATTTTTTGTTTACAAATTACATTCATATTCTTTAAATTTTAACGGAATTTTATTTAATAATTGTTTGATATTATTTTTATTTCCTTTAATTTATATGACTAGATGAAAAAGCAGAAAAGAGTGGATCCTGAAACGGGAGGAAGGAAAGGGAGGAAAATGCAGAGCATATTGTAGAGAGGCATGGGACAGGGGACAGAGAGGGGCAGGGAATGGTAACTTTCGATCCTGAAATGGGGCGAAGGAAAGGCAAAGGGAAGATGCAGGGGCAGAGGTACACGCCACAAGGAATAAGACTGTGTTTTGTGATTCTCTTACCCCAAATCCAAAACCCTGTCCCCACGCCGTCACATAGCCACAACATCTCATGTGCAGTCTCACCCATCCTACATGTGAATCTCTCCACGTTGGATTACCCTATGGATAATCCTAACATCTTCCATCACCAACCAACCACATATCTATGCTCTCCTCTTTTCTTTCATTCTGTATAAACAATTCTATGCACCAAAGCACGACTTTGCCAAATCACCCATCTACAGTTCCCTTTGCCAGAAACATTATTCATCCACCTCACAAGTCTAGGTTATCTTTCCATCCATGCTTCCCTTTCAATTTTTTTTATTTTTTTTATATATTTTTTATTATGTAACACTTCTTTAAACTTAAAGATGTTTTATTCTGTAAATTTAAACGTTCGTTTCTATCATTAGATATGTGCATAAATTTTTTTTAAAAGAATGTAAGTGAATTGGTTTTATTTGTGTATCAAAATACATATATTGTTCGTTTTATATTTAAAATTATTTTTTTTAATAAATAAGTGTTTTTTTATATGTTATAATGATGAATTTTTCAGTAAATAAATAAATTTAAGAATAATTTTAAATTTTCTTTAAGAAATTTTATAGCGCATGTTCTTAATGAAATGATTAAATTAATATTATAAAAATAAAACAATAAAAAAAAAATTGCAAATAATTATTATATAAAAATGTTGACTATGCAACATTCAGAGTGTAAGTATTTGCCTATAAAAGTCTTGTAACATTTTTTGTAATCGCTATTGACACTTCAAATGTTTGACATAAATCTTTTTATCTTCTCTAAAATTTTTGAATTTGAGATTCTTTGAAAAAATAACTTTGTCCATTTTTTTCAACAAAGTGATATTTGATCAATTTTTGACTTCACATTTTGTTAATTACAATGTTAAAAAAAAAATTGCCTCAAAAACATAATTCTTTCAATAACTTTCATTTTTTATATTGTAATTTTATTTAGTGACTATTTATGAGTCTGTTAAAATGTCACTTCTTTGTCAAAAATCATATTTCTTTACTCACAACTCCTTTTCATTTTGACTATAAATCTTTTTTTTGTCATAATTTACACAAAACTTGTCAAAAGTATTATTTTTTTATTACTAAAAATCAATGTTCCTAATCATCACTTATTTAAAACTTGTAACCTTTCGAATGCTATTATGCATGATTTTAGTCAAAATTTACTCTCAAACAAAAGTTATAATCCGACAACACAATTCTTTTGAGAAAAATTATTAAGATTCTTTACCCTCCAAACCAATTTGAAAACCTAATAAGATTCTTTTCTAAAACAGGACATTTAAAGGGATGTAATGTCAGAAGTTAAGTTATTTTTTTCAGCTGAAATGGAACAAACCTTAAACTTCTTCTAAATTTGATTTAAAAACCTCAAATTTTTTTGTTTTGCAAACACAGTATGCGTTCAACAGAATCAGTTTTAATAATTAAAAATCAATTGCTTTTAATTCCACTAATAAAATAGGCACAATCATCTAAAATTTTCTTAGCTTTCTTAGAAGAAAGTAAATTTTCATATGACGTGAAAGATTTAAAATTAATATAATCTAACATTTTTAAATTTTTTTCTATAAATTAATGATGCAAAATAATTTTTTTTCTACACTGTTAACTGATACAAAATATTGTATGATTTTTTATAAAAATGTACATCAAACTCTTTCTTGAATGAGGAATTAACGTTTATACAACAATATTAAGGCAACATTAATTCGCTGACCTTTAATTATTATGAAGTGAATTTTAAATGCATATATAAAATGAAAAAAAAAGAATACGATATTTGAAAATTGATGTTGAAATAATAGAAATACTTTACATCCAATTTTCAGCCTGACTCTCCTTCTCTTCAAACCAAACAATCAGAGTACCATACGCATTCAACTTATATTGGCATAGGAAATGAAGTTTGGGATGATGACATGGTGATTCGAATGGCTTCCGACAGCTTTGGAACACCCTTACAGGATGATGTTTCCATTTACTATATTTAAATAGTTATAGCTCTTATTCAAAATTGTCGTATATGGTATCGTATGTTTTCAAAACAACTTTCACTTTGAGCGCATTACTGTTATTTTATAAAATCAATAAAATAGTTTAAAGACACATGTTAGTTTCAATTTTAAAGAATAATTTTAGCGTTTTCTTTTGGAGTATTTGATTTTTATTTCGATTTTTAAGTAGAATATTGATGATTTTTTAAAGTTGTACTATTTTCCAAAACATATATTTAATTAAAATATTTTATTTTATTTTATTTTTAAAATCTAAACCCTAAATTTTATCAACTAAGCTTGTTGGTGAGTATTATTCTCTTTGTCACTAAAAATAATCTATTTATTCATTTTTATTTAAAAAAATAATAGTCATTTTATAATTTTAAGATATAATGCAAAATTTCATAATACTTTCAATAAAAATAAGCTAATTAAATGCATTTTTTTTAGTTCTTATTCTATAACTTCAAAGAGAAAGAGTATAGTTTTATGGTACGTCCATTGATTATTGTTCAGTTTGGAAGGATGTGTTTGAAGGCCGCTAGTTTCGAATGGATATGATCCATTCTAAAATCAGTTCGGTACCTTAACTTTTTTTAACAAGAAAGAATGATTAAACATCAATCTATTTTTACGGTGTCAAAGATGGAAAAGAAAAGAAAATATAATAAATGACATGATGTGATATAAATAAAATATATAAAAAGTACAAAAAATTCCCTGCGAATTAGCGGTAACATGGGGGATGAGATGTAACTAAGCACTCTTGGGCTCAATAATTATAGTGGCGTGGCGTCAAATCGTGGAAGTGTTATCCTGAAGCCAAAAGTTTCCCAATGCTTTTCTGACAACATTTGTGTACGCGTGCTTACCTAAATCACCACAAACAAACACAAGTTTGGAACGAGAGATTTCCAAGTTCCCAAACGCTACATAATTAATTGGGCTTCATAATACAGACAGGGCCTGGTATAATAAAGCCGATTTGCAATTACCACACACTCACTGGAACAGCAACCAAACTTCATCTCCGAAAAATCGTTATCCGGTCTCCATTATGACAAGGCTATTAAGCTGTGCCAACCACAAGATGCAATGATTCATAAACCCAAGTTCGTTGCATTTTACTCATTTTTATTCCTGTTCTGGTAACATGCCATCGCGGTGGGGCTGCGGTGTCAAGAAACGTTTAACGCTGCTTCCCGCATTATTTTCCCCTCCCACTATCTGCATTAGCTTTGCAGGCCCGATGAAAGTCGTTTATGGGCCAACCTATTTTAAGGCCCAAGCCCAGTACAAGAAATGGGCCTATATAGTCCCAAAGGAACACGTGTGAGAGTGTAGGGGAGGCTGGAAGCATGCGTAGGCAGAAAGAGAGCGAAAAGGGAAAACCTCATCTGATCTACGCGTACGGCACGCTGAAGCAAGGGTTCCCCAATCATGGTCTAATGCAGGAGCTGATAAGCAAGGACGACGCCGTTTTGCTTGGAAGCTATTTGACCGAGCAACCCTACCCGCTCGTGTGCGGGCCCCACGGAATCCCTTACCTCATAAAGCTACCCGGGTCGGGTCATCGGGTCAAGGGTGAGTTGTATGCTGTGTCGGATGACGCGGTGGTTGGGCTGGACGAGTTCGAAGGCTTGAGCGATGGCTATTACGAACGGTTGCCGATGGTGGCGGAGGAGGAGGGTGGTGGAGGGAGGGTGGTGGCGGAGGCGTATTGGGGGCACAGGAGGTTCGGGGAGGTGCTGTGGCAGATGAAAGGAGAGGTTGGGTTGAGGGAGTATGGGGAGGATGAAGCCAGAGAGTATGTGAGAAAAGAGGATAGGCCTGGTGGCAAAAACACCATTCTTGACATAGTTCGTTAGTTTGTGTTATTTTGTTGTGAATGGTAAAATAATATTGGAGAAATTTCTCAACAATAAGAATATTTTTGTATTTTTTCTCTTATATTTATTTTTACACGCCATCTCTTATTTTTATTTTCCTTTTTCTTTTTCAAATATATTTCACCAATCGATCGTTACCAATTCTCTAGAGTAGCGTTGGAATCAAGGATAGTATTCAGTCTACTTATGTAGCAGAATTGCTGATTCATTTCTATTTGATTTTAGAAATTATGAGAATTGTGATATCGTCAAAAACTAAATTATGAGAATCGTTTCATTACTTCAATAATGGATTTCTACTTTGGTATTTAAACAAATTTGAATCGAACTGTAATTAATTTTTAAGTCGGACTTCGCTTAAAATCTTATTTGAATCTGATAGCAAACGCACCTAAATTTAACCAAGGAAGAATCTGATTTTGCGAATTCTTTACTTTGTCAATCAAGTTATTGTAGTGATTACCCTGATTTTTTGTTGGAGATCAAATTTGACTTGACTCTACTCAAAATATCTAACAGATATCCCCAAACTAGTTGATCCTACGAAACCGAACTGCTCATAAAATTATAAATCGAACAAATAATAAGGATTCAAATAGCTTACAATCCTTTCTTTATTTGCTTGGGAAGAAAATATCCACATGCAGCTTCTTACAATCCTTCGTTTGCTAATTAACATTTGATGGTACATTTATTTGCAAACTTGATCTATTATAGCGACTGCTTAAGGTGCGATCAAGTGCAAACTAACTTTAATACCGATCACACATAATACTGATGAAAGCCCCGTTCTACAAAACAATATTTTTTTAAAAACATGTAGCAGAACCTGAATCATTCATGTGTCAATTTATGATCAACAGTACAAGAACACCGTCCAGCACATTCAGCAAAGCCCTTGCCAGAGCCTGCATCAGGGCCTTCAGTTCTGAAAATGACACAACTCCACCCTTCACCACATTTGCAGAATGCACCGCTGCCACTGCCAACGCTACCCACAACATCAGGTGGCAAATTTAACTCCTGCGACACTGTTTCCCCATCACTGCACGTGAATTTCAGAACAGAAATGTCTTTAGTACATATGCAACACATAATCAGATGCATGCTGCTTTATACATAACGGGTTGTACATGTTGGAGTATTTTTCCAGGCACGTCGCATAAGGACTAACACCTGAAAAGTAGTACCAATAAATTTGACCATTCATACCACCATCAGAGAGTAGTTATAAACAAATTCAAATTATCAATTTTTCTAACTTATTAAAAATTGAATACAATAAAAAGTTCATATCTAATAAATTTTTACTAGAATTGCATGCATTAGAAAACTGAAAAATGGTAAATTTATTTATAACTCTACACAAGTAAGAGCAGCAAGTGACATACAGTGTGCATGTGCAATTTTCACCGCATTTAAGGAAAACTTTGCCAGCATCAGGCCCCCCAGTCTTGGTTATGACACATGTCCAACCCTTACCCATCTTGCAGAACACATTGCCCAAACCAGACTTTTTCTCTACGACAGGGACTTCCCTGCAGAAAGAGCTGCGAAGCTCAAGAATATTGGTAATACAAATTATTGAAATTAATTAAAATAATAATAATATATGTGGATGAATAAAGATGGTAAAATAAAAATGCAATTAGAAATATAGGAAACCTGAGAGACTCGTGCTCTTGGGTGGGGCTCTGGGACTCCATATTTCTGTAATCATAAGAATTTGTTTTTTGGTTGCTTATCGTTTTGTACTATGTATTATATGTATGAGGATTTGGTTGGGAACGAGCTACAACATTAGAAAGTCAAAAATATCCTCCATCGTCAATAATTGAAGTTGAAGCACCTCCAACGTTTTGCAATGCCGTCCTTAAACACTCTTCAAAAAAATATCCACATCGCAGTCTACATCATATACCAGCAGCGTCCAACTCTGAACCCTATCAGTTAGTAGGAAAAGAACAAAAATAATACTAATGTTGTGAGGATATCAATAAAATATATTTTAATAAAGTCATAATTTCACCGGCACACATATCACTTATTCCAATATTAATTTTAAAAATAAGTTTTCTCAGATTAATTTTTTTATAACTATTAAATTTCTTTCTTTTAGCCATTAAATTAAAAACCTGTATTAAATAAATTAGATTTATATAATTTATAATTAATAGACTTTTTATCTATTAACATTATACATATAATATACCTTTTAAAATATAAGTAAATACTGGGGGAGGAGACGTGGAAATTTTCAAAATTCATGATTTGAAAAAAATACCATAGGCCAATTTCCTAGACCAATTAGAAAAAAAAAAATACCATTATCAAAAGGGTAGCATTTTATACATTTTGGCATTTTGATTTTTGTAGATCACATTTAGGCCTATACATCAATAGGATTTGGAAGCAACCATAGGCCAATTCCCCATTACCATAAGAAAAAGCATGTATTATAATGTTTGATTTAAACCGTAATTATTGTCTCTGTACGAAATTTAATCATTTCAACTAATCATATATGCTATTTAATTAATTTAACATCGCTTAGGGTGGCTGGCCGTGTCCTATGAAAAATTGCTCCTTTCTTTTTTGTGACGACAATTGCCGACGACGACAACAGGATACTTCTTTAATAGTTTGGGTCAGTTGGCCCAATTAAAAGTGAACTCAAAAGATCGATGTAATGTACTAGACGTTGATCAACTGTGAAATGGCCCATTATGGGCCCTTAGGTGTACTATTAAATAAAAGAAAATTACTGGTAATATATTTTTTAAAACCAATATTAATAAAATTTATTAAAATTACATGAAAATCACTCTTTTTTACTTTTAATTTAATATATTTTTATATTTTTAATAAATTTTAGTCAATAATTAAAACAATGTTAAAAAATACATCTTAAAAAATATATTTTGTAAATTAGTTGTTAACATGACGAGTTGGTTGTAAACACGTATTTAATGCTTTTAGAGAAGCTCTAGCAAAGATATTGATGTAAAATAAAAAATTAACTAAAAAGTAATGCTAACAAAATACTTTTATAACATGTTTTATATTATTGGTTAAAATTTATTAAAAAATATAAAAATTATAAAATATTTTTCTTACTCTTAAATTAATATTATTTTTGTATTTTTTTAAATAAATTTTAACTATCAATAAAGAGTATATTACTAGCATTCATTGAGACTAAATGTCTACCTGGGAAGAGTAGTATTTGGCTTACTGCAAATTTGTTTTTCGATTCGTATAATTGCGTGAGAATCTTGTGGTTAGTCTGTAGTTGATTATGGAAAAGTGCTATACATGTTTCTCACAGGACAAGCTTCAATTTCATTGCATTCAATTATGCAGAGTAGTGATTATGACAATTTTCCACCTCGTTGTTCGGGAGCGTCCGCAACTCTTAATCACCAGTCATTAGTGCCTATTGTTTTCCTCAGTCTTTGTTTTATCATTCGTCACTGACAATTTTGCCTCTTTCTCTAACTTTTCACCTTCCTATCAACCCGGATTTGATTTGCCTGTCCCAATATCAATTATTATTTCAAAATAGGACAAGAGATGGACTACTTAATAATAATTCTAAAGTTTTATTTAAAATCAAATAAAACATTAGGAACAAAATTGAAAGCGAGCTCGTTTGAAGAGCAAAGAAGCAAACTTCTTGGAGAACAAAGAAACGAGCTATTTGGAGACCAAGAAACATATTATTTGGGAAACAAGAAAATAATGAATATAAAAGGAGGAATAATGAAAGATTAGGAGACTTCTTCTTTCTTAAGTTCAAGGGACCTCTTCTTTTTCTTTGGCATTTTTGTTACTTCAAAGCCTTTTTTTTTTTTATATATATTTTGAAAGTATGATAACCTTTCCCAATAAATTATAAAAGAAGAAAAGAGAATATCTTCAAAAAAAAACTTTCTCACAGGTGCTCTCTTGTTATAGAGCACAAGAGCATATCCATGTGCTCCTTCACACATTTAAGTGAAGGAATAACGTTCAAGAGAAATTGAGAGAATCTTTATTGAACGGAAACTCATGAATGATATTTGGCTTGAAAGATTTTTAAGTGCACTTTATTATGGTAGGGACGTTTTATGCCTTGAAAAAGAGGTAGCAATTGCTTTTAGGCATAACTTACATATTGAGACATTAAACAACCTTCTACAAGTATGTAACATATTGAAAAATGAGACTAAACTCATTTCACCATAAAGTACTTATTATACTTGAAAATCGAACGTTTATAAGCTTTGATTTATTTTTGTGTATTTTACAAATCTATAATAAACTCAAACTTTAGCTTGTAATTTCTCAAAATCTTAGTAATTTCTCTAGTTTAATGTGTTAAAATAACAAATTTGATAAGAATGTCATTAACCCACTACTGACTCTTAACATATGATCATAATTTAGTTTGAATTAATTAATTAAACCTGATCGAGAGCTATCAAAAAATGAAATACAACGCATTCTTCTGGTGCTTATGCTTGTTCTTCTTGTTCATTTTACTAGGTAACTCTAATAACTCATCTCTATTGATAATATAGTGGGTAACATTTATTGGTGTTAGAGTCAAACATTTCAGCTCCACTAGACAAGCAGAACGAGATGGGTGGGTCCAGCAATCTTCAAATTTTCATGTGATCATCCACTATATGATACTTTCTATTTCATGTACGGGAAGTAGCTTCCCTGTTGTTTATGTTTGTGTGATACATAGCTGAGGTAAGGTAACGGTAAGTGCCTTAAAATTGAAGCAACAAAGACGCCGACACTTGGGAACATGGCCTCGTGCACACAAAGGTCGTCCTCGGTCTTCGTATGCGATTAATGTTAAGATTTAAGATTAACATGTCCGGTGAAACCATGGTGACTGGTGGAAAACAATAATTTAGATGTTTTCATCTATTTCTCATTATGTTATGTTCTTAATAATAGTCATTCAAATGTATTTCCGTTGTTATAACAATCCGAATAGCAAAAAGACATTTTATTGAAGCTCCTTACCATTTAAGAAAGAGCAATTCCTTAATGTTTGAAACATTGGATGGATGCCACTTAATGAACAATAACTAAATCATTCTCATGGAGTTGAACAAGTGGCCACCCAAATATCAGGGCTTTTTCCATTTTTATGCTTAAACTTAAGACAGACAAAAGAAATGGCAAACAAAAATGTATTGAAAAGTATCAGAACAAAAGCTGCACAGTGATACAGTGAGCGAGCTAGACAGCACTTTATAGGAAAAGGCATCCTTCCATTCTAACGAATTTCTTTAGCAATGATATTAATTTGCACAAAATTGTCGTTTTTATATACTGATACTTTTTTATAGTAATATTTTTAAAAAAACTAACACAAAACATAACGTTTCTCTCTTTGTATTTATTTCCAATCAAGCAAAATGTTTAAATATATTAATGTGCAATTAACAAAAGATATCGAGGGCTAAAACATTATTCCCGCGCATTCTCTATTTCTTTTTTAACTTCATTTGCCATATAACAATTAACTAACTTAATCATATCAGTTTCAGGCTTTAAATATTACCTTACGTTCCCAAGTATGGCACATTACGATATCATAGCTCAAAAACATAAAAATTTGGTACGATAATCACAACTTACCAAACAAATTGAGTGCATTTCGTCCAGATGGTCTAGATTCAATTCAAAACCGGTTCCTTGTGTCCACTAATTCGGACTCAGTCACACTATCAGACTCAGGTCTTGCCTTAGTTGCATGAACCACAAAACACAACAATCATATCAATCAAGAAGATTCTAAAAAGAAAAAAGAAAGTTTAAAATATACACTAGGTGATATATCAACATCAATACAGATAATGAACAAGTTGCTAACAACATTGAAAAATATTTAGCTACACTGGCCAGTGGTGCTAAGTGTGAACAACATGGATGAATGACTAGGACATGTCCATAAAAATAATTATGATAAATGTTTTATCAAATAGAAGAGATTAGGTTTATAAAAACTAACAAGCTCTTGCGTTGCTAGCACAATGAGAATGAGATGAAGCTAATGGTTGACAGCAAAAGCACACGTAGTAGGTAGAATAGTGCGATTTTTTGTACTTGTATCGGACCAATTTCAACTTCTGCATGTGCTTTGGGCCACATTTCCCACAATTGTTTCGCGCTTTTGGGACCCCTCCATTTGTGTAGTGGGCCAGGCCCATTCCTATAAATACTCACACACCTTAAATTCTAAAACCGCATTGTGGGATTTCACACATTTGCAAATTGCAATGGCAATTCTCAATAATGTTTTCTTTGTGTTATTGTGTTTGGGCATTTGCTCCGCTGCCAGAACACTCATCACTATAGACCATGGGATGGGTGGTACTGCTGCCGGGGGTTCCGGTGGAGGTGGAAGTGTAGGTGTAGGTCTAGGTGGATATGGAGAAGGAGCTGGTGGAGGTACCGGTGCTGGATATGGTGCTACCGGTGGTGGCCACGGTGGTGGAGGAGGAAGCGGCGGTGGCGGAGGAGGTGGTGTTGACGGTGGAGGATATGGAGGAGGCGCAGGTAAAGGAGGTGGTGAAGGGTATGGTGAAGGTGGAGGGAGTGGTGGTGGTGGAGGAGGAGGAGGTGGTGGTGGTGGACATGGTGGAGCCAAAGGTGGAGGATACGGAGGTGAAGGTGGGAGTGGTGGAGGAGGTAGTGGTGGTGGAGCAGATGGTGGAGGTGGTGGTGGTGGCTCTGGCGGTGGTGGCGGTGGCGGCTATGGTGGTGGAGGTGCATATGGGGGTGGATATGGAGGTGGTGGTGGGAGTGGCGAAGGTGGTGGCCACGGTGGATACTACCCCTAAGATTTATATTTACCTAAGAAAATTCTGGCTAGCTCCTTGTGGCCATAGTACCAATAACAAAATATGGGTCCGAGGATGCTTATGACTATTTATGCGTTGTATTCCAATTTCTATGTTTTACATGCACGTCGAATGGAAGCTTTACAAGACTTATATCGATCAATTTATAAAGTGATCATACATATTTTGCAGTATTCATCATTCCATTTTCTTCCGTTATTAGTCTCTTTATGACAAGAACATGCCAACTTAAGAGACTAATAAAACAAAAATCTATAACATTGACTCCAGATAATCTACTGTGATGACCGACTAATACTATCAACAAATTAATACATGAATCTACGATAATTAAAAAGTAGAGGTGTTGAAAAAATTTAATTTTATAAATTTAATTTATAACTAATGTTAAATTGATTTTAAAAATCTAAATTTATATTAAATTAATTTTTTTATTAATTATATTTATGTAACTAGTTTTGTATCTAAATTTATTTTTTAAAATTAGATTTTTTTAGTTATTTAAATCTATACGAAGTAATCTTATATATTTATTTATTAAATTTTAATATTATATTAGTTTACAAAATTTTATTGTAACTATATTTTATTACTAATATTTTTTTATTAATTTTAATTTTTATAAATAAAATTAAATATTTAAAATAATTAAATATATTAAAATATTTTAAAATTAATTATCACTATTATTTTTATATTTATGTTTTTTTAATTTTTAAAATATTATAACAAAAAAATTATTATTATTTATATTATTAATTTTTATTTTTATAGATTTTAATTTAAATTTTTACTATAAACTCTGTTTATTAAAAATAAGTTAAAAAATAATAAATGTTTTATATACTTCTATAAAATATAATATATTAATAAATATTGTTAAAATCTTTATGAAATGTACTAATTTAATGCAATATTTTGTATAAAAAATTAATTTTACCTTAAAAATATATTAAAAATTAATTTTGTGTTAAAAATTAAATTTAAAATTAATTTTAAACTAAATTTATATTTTAAAACTATTTTTAAACTGATTAAAAAATAAATAAAATAGTTTAAAATTTAACTTATATAATTAATTTGTGTGATGGATAAATAATAAAAAGTAGAATATATCTAAATATTTATTACTTTAATAAAATATAAAAATAAAAAATATTTTTAATAAATTAAAATATACTTAAATATTCTTTAGACATGTATTGTTAATATAATAAACTAGAATACTCTTGTATTCATATTTTATCTTTAATAAATATTTATGTTTAACAAATAAATAAGTATATATATATATATATATATATATATATAATGTTATATTATTTATTATAAAATTTAAATATTTTTTGATATAATTATTTAATAATAATTAAAAAATTATAGTATATTTTTACCATATGTAAAAATGGTTTAAAATTAGTTTTAGGTTTTAAACCAAATCTAAATTTTAAAACTAAATTTAAACCAGTTTTAGAAAAATTAAAATAGATTGATTTATAATCCAATTCATATAATTAAATTTTAAATAGATCTATATTAATTTTTTGAAAATCTAATCCATAAACATCCCTGCTAAAAAGTTGCTGTTAAATATTAATACTCAGTTTTTAATTATGGCACATATATACGTGTTTAAAGTTTAAATACGTGCAAAAAAGTATTCAGAATTTTACGGTTTTAAGATTGAAAGGGAAATATTTTATGCTAACCGTTCACGTAATATCGGCACATAATAAAAGGAATCCAGGTTTCTGAAATTTTAAGCATAATTAAATAAGAATGCAATTCTTTTGTCCAATTTTCATGCATAAATTTAAAAGTATATGTATACATATTTCTTAATATATGTCAATGGAGCACTAAGTAAAATTTAATGATAATGTCTCCACATTATAAGAAGTTGAATTTCAACTGTCATGTTATAAAAATAAATATCAATAAAAAGCTATATATTTATTGTTTAAATTAAATTTTGAGTTGCTATATTGGCGTCCCCAAGTGTTTGATATGCCGACCCTAAGAACTAGAAATAAAAGGAAACAGTGTGATTATAAATTTGGATAAAGTATATTTATGTTCATTTAATTATATGCGTAAACTATATAAAAAAATTTACTTCTCTGCTATGCATATAGTCATAATTCGACTAATCTTCGTGGGAAAATTAAAGCCAATTTACCTAGATATAATGCTTTGGACACGTGAAACGTGTTGTAACACGTTACTTATTTAGGAGGATTCGCATAAATTTTGCACAATAATAAAAAATATATTAGATAAAATGTTTTAAAAAAATATGTTGTTAATATTTTTTATATGAATAAGGGTCTAGAATAGCAAAAGCATATTATTCATAGTTTGTTAGTAATTTTCCATGCTTTCAATAAAGGAAAAGAAAATAATGGGTGGATTCAAAGTTTGAAACTGATTATTATTTCATGGTCTTCTACTTTTACCTGGTGTTTGTGTGCCATATTTCTTTGTTGAGTTTGTATCTAAATGATTGTGTTAATTGCTTTGATGAAGATTGAGAGTGATCTTAACACGTGACCAGAACAATTTCTATAGAGACGATACTCCTAACTCACTAGTTTATTTTTTTGTGTGCTCGATGCACTTGCAGAGTTAACACTAGTAATTGTCATTATGTTAAAAGATGATCATTAGAACTTGTAATTGTTTATGAAATATTCTGCCCTCCTAATATATTTAATGCGGTAAACAATTGAATTGAACAAAAAATTGAAATAAATTGATCCAAAAAAAAAAAACCATACCGGCAATGATACTAAATCATTAAATTATCAAAATTTGTTGAAGTTTATGATTACTACTTTAAAAATTGTTCCTAGAGTATTGATAAGTCTGTAATTAAGCCATATTTTATAGCCCATACATTCATATTTAACCTTTTATTTTATTTAGATTTTACACTAATTTATATATTAATTATGCAGTTTGGTATACAGAAATTGCAAGTGGATGTTGAGTGCATTTTGGGTCCAAATTGATGGAAGATTAGAGCTTCACAGCAGTCAGCACGTCCAAACCCTTTTAACAAGCACGAGAGTGCTGCAAGCCCATGCACGGTCGTGCTTAAGGCCTTGCACGATGTGCTTATCTGCGGGAAGCATAATTATGAAGAGTCTTTAGGGTTTTCAAACCCTATTAAAAGGGAGATCTCAAGCATCGTAAAGGGGACCGTTTGGACACCTAGTCTTTGACACTTCTCATATATTTTCTCTTGCACAGGATCCTTGGCAGAACTTGGAGCTTTGAGCAATTGTACTTGAAGATGGGGAACTCACCTCACACTCTAGTTTGTTATTTCTTTTAATTATGGCTTTGTTTATGATTGTTTTAATTCTTTTCTTTAGCATGAGTAACTAAGTACATAGCTAGGGTTATGAAAACTATTATTCATGAATTCATGGGGTTTTGACATTTAAATCTAAATTTGATTTCCGTTCATAATTAGATTTTACCCTATTGCACTTCTCTCTTAATCCTAATTAATTATATCGTCAGACGACCGTATCTCAGTTAATTAATAGATCTACAGGATAAAACGAGACAAAAGATTAGCTGGACCAAACCAATCTTTCTCTTCTAATCGTTATTAGATTAACAAGCTTATAGGTTCCTTAAGCTTTCTTAAATTGATGTCTTGCATGACCACTGAGGATGTTAATTTAAAGAAAAGAATATTAATGTTGTATAACCATTGGGTATTAATAGTATTCGTATGAATGATTAGTAATCACAAAGAAATCACATTTAGACTTAAACAGAAAAATAACATAAAGGATTGAATGAGAAAAACCATATGCCCTAGGTTTCTCTCTGATAAGTTTGACCAAGACATGCGTTGTATTCCTTACTCTTCGTTTTATAATTAATTTTATAAATTCTTATTTTAATTAATCTTATATCTTTGAAGTTTAAACAATTGAATTAGGAAATTTTTACTAATTGAAAAACAATTCTTGCGGGGCGATATTTCAAGAACTTAATTTAAGAACCCTTTATTACTTTTTTATAGGTACACTTGCCTTCCGTACAAGTATTAATTAATAAGTTGACAATGCATACAAATACTTTTAAAAAACTAAAACTAAAAAAGGTTATACGATTTGTTGTGGATCCAATAACAAAAAATATTATGTACTCAGTTGAATATCCCTATGATATGCATATTTATCAAGGCATTCATTGAGGAATATTCATAAGCATTGTGACAAGCGAACATCAATTAATTTCAATTCAAGATTGGTAAAGTTGTTTGTTTATCCTTATTTAAAAAAAAAATTCAAAAGAAGAAGAAGACACAAAGATCTCTCTGACGAGCGTGGGAATTCAGTCTTCAAACGCCTATTGATCAATATATACATGATATGCTCATGCCATTCTTTATTAGTGTAACATGTATCAATCAATAATAACACTGCAAACTGGATGTTTGCGCCAGATAAAAGTAAACTAATTCATAACTCAATGCAACAATTGACTTGATTGATTTCATTACAAATCTCGTATATGTTATAGATGTTGGATCTTTTCCTTCAAACACGACAAGTGTACCGAGTCTATTGCAAGTAATAACCGGTAGAGTATCAGAATATCGTCCTCAGAGAGCAATTCAAATATATGAATTACTAAGATACAAATTAATTAAGCTTATATACAATAGAATTGGTGGATGATTTTCATGAAATATTAACAACAATTAAAATGTAAAGCACT